GCCTCGCACCGAGGACCTATCCACGTCATCATTTACCCAGAATGCTTTGTGTGTAAATAAAATGGCCCCGTCCGTGTAATATAATTGTAAACTTTTAGTTTAAAATTTATAAAAACTGAACCTCCTACAGTATTTTTACAGTCTTTATTTTACAGTTAAAACATATGTTTATCAAATAAAGTGTAATGTTACAACTAATCAGAGATCCCTTTAAATGTGACAAAGAAACAACTCATTTTGGTTTAAGCCAACCTAATGCAATGAAATACAACTATAATAAATTTCATTCTAATGCAGTTTAAATAACATGGCAGATGAGTAACCTGATTTAGTTAGGTTTGACCCGTATTACAGTTCTAATAAAGCTTCATTCACATAGGCTGGTCTGCTTTAAGGAATCTCGTATACTCATCTAGAAAGCAGCGCTAGCAAACACACATGCATACAAATACACACTGTCAAAGAATCTAAATATCCTGCTGTATCTTTCAATAACTAATCTTTCAAACTCCCCAGGCCTTAGCCAGAGGACGCATCTTCTTCCATGGATATAAACAGTTGTATCTCCTCTCTCCAGGTTTGTAAAAACTGGGTTAGAGCCACATTATAAAACTTTGTGTTTTTATCGGTTTTACTGAAACTTGAAATGATGTATGGGTGATAAATATTTATGACAATCTTACTGTTTCAGTGAATAGTGGACAGTTTGTCTTCAAGGTGAAAGTGCAGCCAGACTTCACACCATTTATTCAGGTTGTAGCGTATGTGGTCCTCAGCTGTGACAAAGTGCTCTCCCACAGCGCTAAGTTCAACACCGAGAAATGCTTCAAAAATAAGGTCAGTGGAAGATTCTCTAAATGTGGTTTACAAACCTTTCACTGCCTTTTATTTTTTCATTTAGTTTAAAGCATGTCAGTTCTTGGTGACCCTTAACAAAGCTAATTATTAGCAAAATATAAAACAGCCTGGTACATACTAAGTACATGTCTAGTATTTATTTATTACATAGCCTACCAGGTATGTGCCCTGTAAATATAGCATAACTAGAAGCACTCGGAGAGTGCAAACCTCTGCCAAGACCAATTTCCCCCATCCTGTAAGAGTTAATGCGCAAAAGCAGAGATGGATACACATTTGTCGAATAAGTTCTGATGTAGTGAACATTTAAGCAGCAGTATGTATGGAATGTCTTCCCGGTGGAGTCTAATGTGGAAAAAACAAAAGTCGGACTGGTCACCCGACGTTATTCATCATCAAACAGGTGTGGGATTAAGCTCCTAAGTTTTCATCAGTCACATTTCACCATGTAAAACGTCTGTTTTATCTCCTTGTATGAGTTTGTAATGGTTTGACTCTCTTTATAAAGTGCTTCCTGGCTCCCCCCGTCTCCAAACTTTGAGGCCCGGCAGCTCTCTGTTTACAAGCCTAGTAGAGACAAACTGTTTTCATTGGTTGTTTCAGAAATGTGGTGTGTTTGAGGAACTGGGAAAAGTGGGTTTCATGGTGCAGTCACACACTTCCTGGTCACAAAACGTTCTGTAAATGCGCACCAAATGCGTAAAAATGCGCATATTATGGCAAAAATTCTTCATCATTAAATGTGATTTTAACATTACTTTTATAAAGTTTGAAGTCCAAGCTGTCCAATCCAGCTCACTGTTTTTACAGAAGCCCCGTGAAAGCATCACAGCTTTGCCAATCTCAGAGTGTTAAAAGAAAAAAAATTCCTGTATCCACATCGTGATCCGGAACATCACCA